GGAGGTTGCTGTGAGCTGTAATGCCACGGCACTCTACCCAGGGGGACAGCTTGAGGCTCTGTCTCAAAAAAAAAAAAAAAAAAAAAAAAGAAAATAATGTCAAATACCATAGCGTTAAAAAAAGTAGGCATTAATTTAACAAAAGAAATGCACTTGTACACTAAAAACAACAAACATTCTTGAGAGAAATTAAATAATAAGTAAATGGAAAAATCCGTTCATAGATCAGAATATTGAATGTGAAGATGATTGATATTTCTCTAATTGATCTATACATGCAACACAATCACTATAAAAACCCCAGCTGGCTTTTTTGCAGAAATTGACAAATTGATCTTAAAATGCACAGGCATATGCCAAAGATACTGTGGATTTCAGTTGTAGGCTACTGCAAAAAGTAAATATTACAATAAGCAAGTCACACGGAATTTTTGGTTTCCTGGTGCATTAGTCATGAGAGAAACACAAATCAAAACCTTGATGAAGTACTACTTCACACCCACTCTGCATGGCTGTAACTCACAATAACAAGTATGTCAACAAGGATGCTGGCAGCACCCGTAGCTCAGTGAGTAAGGCACCAGCCACGTACACCAAGGCTGGTGGGTTTGGATCCAACCCAGGCCAGCTAAAACAACAATGACAACTACAACAACAACAAAAATAGCTGTGCGTTATGGTGGGCAGCTATAGTCCCAGCTACTTGGGAGGCTGAGGCAAAAGAATTGCTTAAGCCCAAGAGTTTGAGGTTGCTGTGAGCTGTGATGCTATAGTACTCTACCTAGGGCAACAGCTTAGAGACTCTGTCTCAAAAATAAACAAAAAACAAACAAAAAAACAAGGATGTGGAAAAGATGATGTCTGGAAATGTAAAATGGTGCAGCCATTGTGGAAAAGTTATGTTTACAAAGTTACGTTTACACTATTCTTCAGTCTATTAAATATGTGTTATTTCTAAAAAAAAAAAAACCACCACACACCTTAATTTAAAAATATTTTATTACTAAAAATGCTTACACAAACTGTAAGACACAATGTGAACACATGCTATTGGAAAAATGGCATTAATAGACTTGCTTGACACATGGTTTTCACAAAACTTCAACTTGTAAAAAAAATGTAGTATCTATGAAGTGCAATAAAGTCAAGTGCAATAAGATGAGGTATGTCTGTATATGGAAATGCAAGGGATCCTGAATAGCCCAAAAAATCTTGGAAAAAAAAACAAGGTTAGAAGATTCACACTTCTCGATTTCAAAGCTTACTACAAAGCTACAGTGTTCAAAACAGTATGGTATTAGCATATGGCTAGACATATGGACCAATGGAATAGTACTGAAAGTCCAGATATAAAGGGGTTACATTTATGGTCAACTGACTTTTGACAAGGGTGCCGAGACAATGAAATGGGGGAGAGAAGAGCTTTGTCAACAAATGGTGCTGGGACAACTAGCTATCTCTAGGAAAGGAAATGTGTTTGGAATTCTACCTCACACCATACACAAAAATCAACTCAAAATGGATTACATACTTAAATATAAGACCTAAAATCATAAGACTCTTAGCTAAAAGAATTCAAACATATGTCCACAAAACAACTTGTATATAAATGTTCATAGCAGCATTATTCACAACACTCAAAAAGAAGACAAAACTCAAATTTCCATCAACTGATGAATGGATAAATAAAATGTGATATATTCGTACAATAGAATATTATCTGGCCAGAAAAAAGAATGCAATGTTGATATATGCTACAACATGGGTGACTCTTGAAACAGTACACTAAATGAAACAAGCCTGTCACAAAAGGTCACATTATTTCATTTATAAACTTATATGAAATATTCAGAATCACAAATTTAGATGCAATACCCAAAGTACAAAAAACAAAATAAAATATGCTATAAATTAGGCTACATTAAAATTGAAATCTTTTATAATATAAGCAATATCATCAAGAAAAAAGATAACCTATACATGTTTTGGGTGCAGGACATAGCTACAGGAGGGACTGTACCTAACAATTTCAAATATTCTGATTTTGTCATTTGTACCCTCACATTAACCTGAAATAAAACTAAAAGAAAAGGAAAAAAAAAAAGAAAGACAACCTACAGAATAAGAGAAAGTTACCTGCAAATTGTGGAACTGATAAGGGACTGGTATCCAGAACAAACACATAAAGAACTCTAAAAACTCAGTAACAAAAAGACAACCCAATTTAAAAATGGGCAAAGGATCTGAACAAGAAGAAGATATACAAATGGCCAAGAAGTACATGAAAAGATGCTCAACATCATTAGTCATGAGGGAAATACGAATCAAAACCTTAACCAAGTACTACTTCACACCCATGCTGGATGGCTATAATAAAGACACACAATAACAAGTGTTACTGGAGATGTAAAATGGTGCAGCCACTGTGGAAAGGTTCGGTAGATCCGCAAAAAGTTAAACACTGAGTTACCACATGACCCAGCAATCTCACTCCTATGTATGTATCACAGAGAAATGAAAACATATCCATAGAAAAACTTATACACAAATGCTTATAGCAGTTTTATTCATGTAGCCAAAGACTAGAAATAATCCAAATGTCCATCAACTGATAAATAAATAAAATGTGACATATCCATACAATGTAATAGTATTCAGACATAAAAAAAGAATGAATAATGCCAACACAACTAAGTATCTATTGATCCATAAATTCCTTCAAATCATCAGGCAAAAGAAGTCAGTCAGGAAAGACCACATTGTATGAGTCCATTTATGCGAACTGTCCAGAATAGGCACATCCACAGAAATAGGAAGATTAGTGGCTACATTGGGTCAGGAGAGGGGGTAACGAGGAGTGACTGCTAATTAGTACAGATGGGGAAATGTTTTTTGAGGAGGGAAAATGTTCTAAAATTAGATTATAGGGGCCAGGCACGGTGGCGCACACCTATAATCTTAGCACTCTGGGAGGCCAAGGAGGACTGGAGACCAGCTTGAGCAAGAGTATGATCCCATTTCTATTAAAAATAGCTGGGTGTTATGGCAGGTGCCTATAGTCCCAGCTACTGAGGAAGCTGAGGCAAGAAGATTGCTTGGGCCCAAGAGTTTGAGGATGCTGTGAGGTGTGATGCCACAGTACTCTACCCAGGGCGACAGGGTGAGATTCTGTCTCAAAAAACATAAATAAATAAAAATTTAAAAATTAGATTATAGTGATGATTTCACAACCCATGAATATATTTTAAAAATACTGATTTGTACACTTTAAATAAGTGAACTATATAGTATGTAAATTATGTCTCAATGAAGCTTTTTTTGTGTGGTTATGTATGTAAGTACACAGGAGTGAGGTAACATAAAGTAATACTGGCTTTAAAGTATTTTTATGAAAAATAGATGACAAAATCTTGTTAGTCACTGAACCTGGGTGATGGGCATTTGGGTGCTTATTTAGAAAATTTTTTCAGAATAATGAATGTGAAAAAAATTGGATGTATCCATCTAGAAAACAATTTCAGAATAGTAAAAAAGTCAAGTTAATAAACAATTCATTCTTATCAATAGATAAGAGGCCAGAACCTATAAAAATTTCAAGAAGGTAGAGCGGAAGGGAATTTGGAGAACATCTGATGAAGACTTTCAGTTACCAGGTGGAATCCAGAGATGGAAAGTGATTTTCTCAGGAATAAATGCAAGATAGGATAGTAGGGGATGAGATGGAGAGAAATGGGCAGGGGCCCTGTCATCAGAGGTGTGTCCCAGCAAGTGGCTGGGGGGTCCCATAGAAGGTCCAGCACTTACTTGAGTTTCAGCTCCCTGGTGAGCTCATTCTGAGTCTGCTCCAGCTCTTGGCGTTCCTTGATGTGCTCTTCTTGGAGGTCATGGATCTCAGCCTTCACCGCCTGAAGCTTGGAGAAGAGCTGGAACCGGAGGGGAGAGGTAGTGAGGACAGTGTCCATCCAAAGAATCATTTTCTTTCTTTTCCCCAAGTGTCAAGGTACTTGCGGGGCCTTGTTCATTTATACCTTTTTGAGTTTTTTGGTCTTGATGTCCACTTCTTGCTGCAATGAGCTATACGTCTCTTTAAGTTCCAAAGTCTCCTCATCTCGGCTTTCCATCTGTTGCTGGATTTCTCTTTCACGACGTTTCTGAGTGACATCACAAAGTTCATTAGCTTACCCTGGAGACTGTCTATACAAGAATACAGATTAGCGTCTCCTGCTAGAACGAGACTGACACAACTTGTGCCCATGTCCCTTGAAGAGAATCTAAAGAGATATTTACTCTGTGCCATAAAGATACCTTATGCCACTCCTTTCTGTCCCCAAAGATTGAAAAGTTACCTGTTCTGCAATTTCCTGTCGTTTCTGCTCCAGAATTTTCTGCTGTTCATTTGTATGATCTACTATATTTTTTCCTCCAACAAGTAGTTTACTCTCCATGGCCTGAGGGAGAAGCAAAATAAAATCCATCTTATGATCTCCCTCAAAACCTGACTCTATATAGAAGCCCATGAAAGATAAAGAGCTCAGGTGGGCACAGTGGCTCACGCGTTAATCCTATCACTCTGGGAGGCTGAGGAGGGTGGATTGCTTGAGCTCAGGAGTTTGAGACCAGCCTGAGCAAGAGTGAGACCTCATGTTGTGGTGAGCCCCTGTAGTCCCAGCTACTCAGGAGGCTGAGTTAAGAGGATCACTTGAGCCCAAGAGTTTGAGGTTGCCATGAGCTATGACACCACAGCACTCTACTGAGGGCTATGATGTCACAGCACTCTACCCAGGGCAATGGAAGGAAGGAAAAAAGGAAGGAAGGGAGGAAGGAAATAAAGAGCTCAGTACTGAGCCAAAGGGACAAACTCTGGGGGAAAAATAATCTTGTGCTCAGCTATACTCTTCCTTTACTGACATGGGGCTGGAGCAACGTCATTTTTAGAGTAGATTCTATCTCGTAAATACTCAACATACAACTTCTCCAGACATTCATGAATTTCACCTTTCTTTAACAAAATACAGTAGAACCTCCACAAATAACCATTCCTCTACATTGACCACCTCCATAAGTCGACCTAATTTTCAGACTGTATGTGGGTCACGTGCACATATGGTTCCTTATGATGATGACCATCTCCATATGTTGACCAGTCTGTTACAGTCCCTTGGGTGTCAACTTACAGAGGTTCTGCTGTATTTTTTTTGTTGCTACAAAGCATAATCCTGCTTAGAACATATTAAGTAGCTCCTGTTAGGGACTAGGAGTGCAACCCTGAGTGTAAATCACAAATCTCAGTCCACAGAGAGACAGAGACAAGGAAGCAGGCTTTTATCAGATGGTGTCAGATGCCATCAGGAGGAAAGTACAGTCATTAATGGGAGAGGTACACTGGAGAATTGAGACTTTTGGATGGAGTCAGAGAAAGCTTCCTGTCTGAAGGGCCATCTGCACAGAGAGCTAAAGTAAGAAACAGGAACTATTTAAGGAAAGCAAGGCTCTTTTTCTGAGAAGGTGGGGTAAGGAGTGATGATACATGAAGTTGGCCTAGAGCCCTGTTAAAAGACTAAATTTGACCCTGAGGATCTCAGGAACCACTACATGTTCTTTAGGTATACATGAAGGTACACAATCAGATTGGTGTTTTAGAAATACTGATCCCCTGAAAAGGGAAGAATGACCATAAAAGGGCTGGCAGAATGGTGAGAGACCAGACAGGAGCCTGCTGTGGCGGATAGGGCTCCTCCCTAGCAGGGGAGGGAAGTCTGGGTCTATGAAACCCTGATGAGGCAGGATCCAGAGGCCTTGGGGCTGACTGGGCTCTAAAGAGAGAGAGAAGGGCAGCCAGCAAGGATGACTCCCAGGGGTCTGGCTTCTCAGATAAGGAAGCAGGAGCAGGCTCTGGGTAGCTGTCAGCATCTCAGTGGAGATGTCCAGTAGGCAGAAGGCTGCTGGGCCTGGATGGGAGGAGACAGCTCTGGACTAGGAATACAGATTTGGAGCCTTCAGCATATACCTTGGGGCTGAAGCCATAGGGATAATGTACATCTAAAAAGCACAGAACTCCAAAACCGTACAACCTTGCTTTCAAGGGACTTATTAATATCAACATTCACTGCAACCCTGGTGCCATCTTTCAGCAAGTCTTTTGAGCCTGTTTTCCCTTCTCTCAAATGAAGGGGTTGAACTAGATCACTAACCTCCAACCCACACACCTTCCAGCTCTAACATTCTTTTGTTCTATGATTTTACAGCATCCAGGGGCTGAGACAGACAGAAGTAATGTCATTCTCCATAGATGTACTTTAAAATATTTTTATGAAAGAGATGCAGTGACCTTGAAGTAATGCTGAATCTTGCCATACTTTGCCTCTGAGAGTTCAACCTCCTCTGAGAGGTTGTTTAGAGACTCCAGGTCAGGGGTCCTCAAACTTTTTAAACAATAGGGGGCCAGTTCACTGTCCCTCAGACCATTGGAGGGCTGGACTATGGGCCCCGGGATGAGTCGGCTGCTAAGCAGGGCAGGCAGCAGCGGCAAAAACACCCCGCGGGCTGGATAAATGTCCTAGGTGGGCTGTAAGTTTGAGGATGCCTGCCTAGGTATTCCTATCCTTGAATAACAGATGTGATCCTAAAAAAACAGTAGGCAAATCAAAGGTGGGCACACCCAGTCACATTTTGAGAACAGTAGTGAGGAGAGATGGCATGCACTTGACACATGGCATCTCACAGTAAGCTCCTCCCTGGAACAAAGTTACCTCCTAATTGTGTAGCATATGACTCCATTTTCACATCAAGTCTTAAAAGTGCTGGAGGAAACATTCATGGTTTTCAGATCCCTGCCTCTGAAGCAGCTCTGTGAAAGGGCTACTATGAAGTCACAGACGCACACATACAGCTTCATACAGTGAGGGAAGTGGAGGCAAGAAAGAGAGAACTTGTCATTTTTTTAAATCATAAACATGGATAGGCTTTAAAGTAGAAATCAAAGTTTGCATAAGTTCAGTAAGTCAGAACCTGACACTTCCAAGGAGTTCTGGCTTGTGTCTACCCAGCGGCCATCCTCAAACCTCCAAGGCTACCAAAGTAGCCATTAAAGCCCAGTGGCAGTCCAGAGTCCAGGCAGCTGCGGGAACAGGACATAGCTGCCAGAAAGAAGACACAAGGCAATGGGTGCCGCCACACTACTCCTCAGCCGCCGGGTGGGAAACGGGTATGCAAAGAAATACATTAGCACACAGGGGTTAGAGGCTGGGGTAGAGGGCTGACTACAAGGGAATAGCAGGAGGACATCTGGGGGATAGTGAAACTCTTCAGTATCATGTGCAATCAGGGTACTGTGTACTAAAACCACACTGAGACACCATGCCATACATGTGCTTATAAGGATGAGGGGCATCCAGAACTCACACTCTGCTGGTAGATGCTTCAATCTGCACAGCCATATTATTTTTTTTATACTTTATGTTTTTAATTTTTTGAGACAGAGTCTTACTCAGTTGCCCACGCTAAAGCACAGTGTCATCATCATAGCTCAATGCAACCTCAAACGCCTGGGTTCAAATGATCCTCCTGCTTCAGTCTCTCAAGTAACTGGAACTACAGGTACATGCCACCATACTGGGCTAATTTTTCTACTTTTTGTAGAGATGGAGGTCTTGCTATGTTACATAGGCTGGTCCCAAATTCCTGGCTTAAAGTGATCCTCCTGCGTTGGTCTCCCAAAGTGCTAGGATTGTAAGCATGAAACCGGCTACTCTAGAAATGACTTGTCCTTGTCTAGTGAAGATGAAGCTGCACACACATTAGGACCTAATGGTGCTAGAAACTCATGCACTTTCATGCTTTCTGGGAGCCAAGGAGCCAAGTACAAGAACCTCCACAGCAAAAAGTGGAAACAATCTGTACTTTTAGAGAATGGAATACCACAGAATACTCAGAACAGTAATAACAAACAGCTACAGGCATCAGTGTGGACCTCAAGAGCATAATGATACTGTTGGGCAAAGAAATCAAACTTAAGCAGTGGGATTCCATTCGTACAAAAGGAAACAAATATGGGAATCTAAACTACATTTTATTAGAGATCTATATGTATGTGGCAAAACTACAAAGAAAAGCAAGGAAACAGCAAACAGCAAATTCAGGATGATGTTTATCTCTGGTGGAGGGGACCACAAGGAGCTTCTGAAGACAGGAGCTCCGTCATTCAGAAAGTACATGGTGTTAGTTTTACTGCTGTTCTTTAGGCCTTGCACATATGTAAGGATTATATTCTTTTTTTTGTAGTTTTTGGCCGGGGCCAGGTTTGAACCCCCCACCTCCGGTATATGGGGCCAGCGCCCTACTCCTTTGAGCCACAGGTGCTGCCCGTAATGATTATGCTTATCATGAATTCCATTTACAAATTTGAAAAAAATCACTTTCATTTTAATTCAGTTCCAGAAAGGTTTACTGAGCAGTGGATATCACAGAGCCTAGTGGGAACGCAAAACTAAAAGAGACATCATCCCTCATACCTTTTTTTTTTTTGGTAAAAAGAAAAGCACTGGTAGGGCACAGGCATAAGGAAGGATACTGTACCTTGATCTTAGCACCCAGCATCTCAGCAGCATCCTTCTCCCGCCGCAGATCCTCCATCTTTTTCTCCTTCTCCTTCAGCAGCCTCATCTTCTCCTCTGCAACCAAGCTGTGGTCCTCTACAATGGCACGCTTCTCAATCTCCAGTTTTTCTTGTTGTTCCCGCCAGTAATCATCCTTATCATCCCCTTCCTCCTCACCCTCTTCTCCCTCCTCCTCCTCCTCTTCCCCACCCCCACCACTGCCACCACCTTCCCTCCGCTTCTCTCGCCTCTTCCTTCTGCCAATGGACCGTTTTTCCAGCTGGGCCTTGAGCCGAGCAATCTCTTCCTGGAATTCTCGAAGGAGGGCATCCTTAGGGTCCTCATTGACCCTTGGTTTGTTCTTAATGTTTTTGGCACGGTTGGCATATCGCAGAGTGGTCAGAGTCTCTTCTACATTGTAAGAAGCAGGCCCCACATTGGCCACCATCACAGTCTTAGCATTCCCACCCAGGGAATCTTGGAGGAGCCTAGTAAGCTTTGAGTCCCGATATGGAATGTGAGTGCTTTTGCCATCTACCAGGGCAGAGATGACATTACCCAAGGCTGAAAGAGAGAGGTTGATCTTGGTAGCTTCCTTTAATCTTTCCCCTTGTGCACCAGTCTTGGCTTGCCGTTCGCTGCCAGCAAGATCTACAAGGTTCAACTTCCCTACACGGATATGGTTTTCACCGTCAAGGCCCACCTCACTACATTCGATAGTGATAACAAAAATTGCATGAGAACGTGAGCTGTGCTCATTCATGTTGGTAGCACCGACAGAACGGTTCTGGTTCCCCACATTCATCACATGCTCTATCTCCTTCACGCTCTTAGTGACAAAGGAAGACAGGTCTTTCACATACACCCCAGTGTCAGGCCTCTCTTTGAGCTCAAGCCTTTTGCTCTGATCCTTTGAGAGCAGATCTCGGATCTCCTCCTGGTAGATCTCTAAGTAAGAAGCCCTGACCAGGTACTGTTGATTCTGGGATCGAGAGATGTGGGTGAAGATGTGATCAAATGAATTAGGAATGACCCCTCTTTTTTCAGGGTCACCACGGACTCCTTCCATCGTGTAGGTTTTCCCAGTCCCAGTTTGTCCATAGGCAAAAATCGTCCCATTGAAACCTTGCAGGACAGAGTCCACAAGTGGTCGGAACGTCTCATCGTAGAGTTCAAACTGCTTGGCGTTCCAGTCATAGACTGCATCAAACGTGAAGGTCTTGGGCATTTCATTGGCTGCTCCTTTGGGGTTCTTCACAGACACTTGTCCCAGCTTCACATCCACATCAACCACCTTGTCATATGAAGCAGCCTTTTCCTTGCCATTCATGGGTCGACAGCGAACCACCACCCTGACTGACTCTGAGCTTTTCAACTTTGACATGATGAGCTCTGACTGGATCAGTCTTGAGGGCTATGAATCCAAAATGTCTCAGGATGCTAAGGTCCTAGAAATAAAGCAAAAGTAAGTAAGTACAGTATAGTGGTCGCTGGGGGCTGCTTGACAGAAGCTGACACACCCAAGTCATCTCATCTTGCTAACCTATTGACAGCTATATTTAATAACTATGCCACATTGTGTATCTCCTCACAGGATCTTACCAGCTTCAATGGGTAAAAACAAAGCAAAACTCTGTCTACCAACAATGTTACTAGCCTGTTCTCCCCTTAATCAATACTTAATCTTATATCTTAGGCTGAGGCCACTGGAAATCTTTTAAAAGCCTAGGTGGTCTTATATCCTATTGAAATACTATAACCTCTAGATAGAACAATTTGGAACTATAGTAGAACCTCCATAGTCAACCCCCTCCTTATACTGACCACCTTTTTAAGTTGAACTAATTTTCTTTTTTTTTTTTTGAGACAAAGTCTCACTTTCTCAACCTGGCTAGAGTGCTGTGACGTCACAGCTCACAGCAACCTTAAATCTTGGGCTCAAGTGATTCTCTTGCCTCAACCTCCCAAGTAGCTGGGACTACAGGCACCTGTCACAATGCCCAGCTATTTTTAGAGAGGTGTCACTGGCTCAGGCTGGTCTGGAACCTGTGAGCTCAGGGCAATCTACCCGCCTCAGCCTCCCAGAGTGCTACAATTACAGACATGAGCCACAGTGCCTGGTAGTTGACTTAATTTTCACAGACAATACATGTACCACATATACTAAATATACAGTAGGCTTAATTCCTTGTGTTGACTATCTCTGTATGTTGATCAGCTTGTTACAGTCCCTTGGGTGGTCAACTTACACAGGTTCTTCAGTATCTATCAAAACTTGAAATGCACTTATATTCTGACCTAGCAATTATATTTCTTTCTTTCTTTTGAGACAGAGCCTCAAGCTGTCGCCCTGGGTAGAGTGCTCTGGTATCATAGCTCACAGCAACCTCCAACTCCTGGGCTCAAGCGATTCTCTTGCTTCAGCCTCCGGAGTACCTGGGACTACAGGCACCTGCCACAATACCCGGTTCTTTTTTGGCTATAGTTGTCAATGTTTGGCAGGCCCAGGCCAGATTCGAACAGCCAGCTCTGGTGTATGTGGCTAGCACCTTAGCCACTTGAGCTACAGGTGCCACCAGCAATTATATTTCTAAGAACTTATCCAGTATGTCTCGTATAAAGACATATATACATGGATATATATTATGGTAGAAATAGACTGTGGGCAACCCCAATTCCCATTAAGAGGTGACTGATTAAATTATATGTTGAGGCTTAGTGCACGTAGCTCAGGGCACTGAGGCAGGCGGGTTTGAACCTGGCCAAGGCCTGCTAAACAACAAAGACAACTACAACAAAAACAACAACAACCAAAAAGGCTCGGCACCTGTGGCTCAAGTGGCTAAGGCACCAGCCACATACACCTAAGGTGGTGGGTTCGAATCCAGCGCAGTCCCCCCAAACAACAACGACGGCTGCAACCAAAAAATAGCTGGGTGTTGTGGTGGGCGCCTGTGGTCCCAGCTACTTGGGAGGCTGAGGCAGGAGACTCGCTTGAGCTCAGGAGTTGGAGGTTGCTATGAGCTGTGATGCCATGGCACTCTACCCAGGGGGGATAGCTTTAGGTTCTGTCTCAAAAAAAAAAAAAGAAAAAAAAAAAACAACAAAAAATAGTCAGGCATTGAGGCAAGCGCCTACAGTCCCAGCTACTTGGGAGGCTGAGGCAAGAGAATCGCTTAAACCCAAGAGTTTGAGGTTGCTATGAGCTGTGACACCATGACGTACTACCGAGGGTGACATAGTAAGACTCTGCCTCAAAAAAAGAATAAAAAATAAATAAATAATATACTGACTATATAGGCAGTGGAATCCTATGTAAGTTATTTAAAAGGACATGGCAATCTAAATATAATCCTATACCAAGATACGTTGTTAAAAAGAAAAAGAAGCTGATGAACAGTACACATAGTACAGTGCACAGGGAGTAAAATGGAGCCATAACACCAAGCTTGAACCTTAATGTAATGTATGACCTTGGATGATAATGATGTGTCAATGTAGGTTTGTCACTTGTGATAAATGTGCACCTGATGGGGGATATTGATAATGAAGGAAGCTATGTATGTGTGGAGGTGTATAAGGGAAATCTATGTGCTTTCTATTTAATTTCACTATGAACTTAAAACTTCCCTAAAAATAGTCTTTTAAAAAAAAAGTAAATATATACAAAAAAGAGGGTTCTATGCATGTTACACATTTGCTTTGCATCTAAGATTATTAGAAGTAAACATTTAAAATGGCAGCAGTGGCAGCCTCGGCAGGAGAACTAGGAGCCGTGGGGACTCAGAAGTCTGAAGAGAGAGAAACAGTTTTTGCTGTATACTCATTTGTACTGTTTGTAGTTCCTCATTTGTGCTGCTGATATTTTTCAGTTCTAAAATCACCAACAAAACCAGCCTATGCAAATAAATGAGGATGTGGTATAATGCATTACATAGAAAGCACTTATTTAACCAATAAATTTGATAGAGAGAATGTGAATGCAAACAAGAAAAGAGGTGTTAACATTTTTCTAAGCAACAACAAAAAAGAGAGAACTTTACTAAGTGCAAGAAAACTCAGAGAGCAGAAAAATGAGTCAGAGAGTCATCTGGGAGGTGTCGGGAGGGAGCAGGTTAGAATAAAGAGGTACATACAAGAACCTCAAACTCCTGAAAATCTAGTGTGGCGATTTTTAAAAATAAGTAATTCACATGTTTCTTTTTTTTTGAGACAGAGTCTCACTGTGTTACCCTGGGTAGAGTGCCGTGGCATCACAGTTCATAGCAACCTCAAACTCTTGGGCTTAAGCAATTCTCTTGACTCAGCCTCCCAAGTAGCTGGGACTACAGGTGCCTGCCACAACGCGCGGCTATTTTGTTGTTGTTGTTATTGTTGTAGTTGTCATTGTTGTTTAGCTGGCCTGGGCTGGGTTCGAACCTGCCGGCCTTGGTGCACGTGGTCAGCACCATAACCATTGTGCTACAGACGCCAAGCCAATTCACATGGTTCTTGATTAAAAGATTTTTTTTTTTTGAATGACATCATCATAGCTCACAGCAACCTCATATTCCTGGGTTCGAGTGATCTCCCTACCTCAGGCTACCGAGTAGTTGGGACTATAGGTATCCGCCAAAATGTTCTCCAGGATACCCATCAAATCTTTTTCCTATTTTTTTTGTTTTGCAGTTTTTTGGTCGGGGCTGGGTTTGAACCCACCACTTCTGGCATATGGGGCCAGTGCCCTACCCCTTTGAGCCACAGGGGCTGCCCTTTTTTTTT